CCAATGAACACCCAGGACTGATCTCCTTTAGGATGGACTGGTTGGATCTCCTTGCAGTCCAAGGGACTCTCAAGAGTCTTCTCCAACACCACAGTTCAAAAGCATCAGTTCTTCAGTGCTCAGCTTTCTTTATGGTCCAACTCTCACACGCATACATGACCACTGGAAAAACCATAGCCTTGACTAGACGGACCTTTGTTGGCAAAGTAATCGCTCTGTTTTTTAATATGCTGTCTATAATACAAAGTATAATACAAAGGAGAAGCAAAGGAAAATGATCCATAATCAGACTGTGCTTCAGCATAGAAATAAATGGTGAGTGACATGAAAATCACTCAGTCATGTCTGACTCTTTGTGACCCCATGGACTATACAGTCCATGGGATTCTCCAGGTCAGAATACTGGAGTGGGCAGCCTTTCTCTTCTCTAGGGGATCTTCCAACTCAGGAATTGAACCCAGGTCTCCTGCATTGCAGGGGGATTCTTTACCAGCGGAGCCACAAGGGAAGCCCAGGAAATGGTGGGGCATGTCTAAACTAGAAGGTAGCATGAGGCAGTCAGTCAGGTTTCTGCTCCTCAGCATAGGATCACCATGTGTGAATACATGTCTGCAAATGCAGATGGCGCACAGCTGTCGCCCGGCGACAGGACCACCCATGCGTACTGCACACTCAGGTGCGGTTTTCTAGAACAGTGAACATGCTTGGTAAAGTTCTGGACACAACACCATACAATCTACATGGCGGTAACATTCTGGAAAATTCAGGTGATGTTCAGTCAGTTCAGTTCAGTCACTCAGTCGTGTCCAACTCTTTGCAACCCCATGAATCGCAGCATGCCAGGCCTCCCTGTCCATCACCAATTCCTGGAGTCTACCCAAACCCATGCCCATCGAGTCAGTGATGCCATCCAGCCATGTCATCCTCTGTTGTCCCCTTCTCCTCCTGCCCCCAATCCCTCCCAGCATCAGGGTCTTTTCCAATGAGCCAACTCTTCTTTTTTTCTTATATTTTTTTTTTCTAAATTTTAACTCTTTGAGTGATAGAGCCCCAAATTAAATTCATATCAAAAAGTGCTTACTGAGTACTTGTCGGGCAGGGTGCTGGGTGAGTGCTCAGGGTTGGTCTTCAGAATCCTTTGGAGGGAGCCCACTCAGTTGATTTGATCAGGAATGCTCCTCACATAGGTTTCTTGATTCTTCTGGTGACAGGAGAGGAGGAGGCTGGCGCCTCTGCGTCTCTTCTCCTGTTACAGCCCCGTGACCAGAACACCCTCCACGTGGCACTTGCTGCCGGGGCCTCCCCACGGTGTCTTGCGATGCCCACCGCACCCCGGGGGCAGTGGGCAGGTGGGGGCGGGGGCCCGTTGTCCAGGTGCGGAAGCAGAGGCTCTGAGGGGCGCACGGGCTTGCTGACTCCTAGTGACCCCTCGGTCAGCGTGTTTTTTCCTTGTCTGCATCCGGCGTGTCTGTGCTGCCTGCGTCATGAAGGTGGACGCACAAGCGGCCTGGGGAACGCGCTAGTGGAATTGGTTCACGGCCCCACGGCAGCTGTGAGTGAAGATGGCCTAGAAACTGATAGACGCGCCGGGGGCAGACACTCAGCCTTACTACGGGCGAGCGTTTGGTGTCAGGCCTTTGCCGCAGAAAACTGAATGCTCTTCTCTGTCCCCTGCAGTGCACCCTGGACTCCGAGGTGGCTGTCAGAGTCGGGGGGGAGTTCTTCTTTGACCCGCAGCCCTCAGACGCCTCCAGAAACCTCATGTTGATCGCAGGAGGCGTCGGGATTAACCCCCTGCTTTCCATCCTGCGGCACGCGGCCGACCTCCACAGAGAACGGGCGAGCAAGGGGCGGGGGTATGAGATGGGGACAGTCAGACTGCTCTACAGTGCGAAAGACACCAGCGAGCTCCTGTTCAAGGTAGGGAGCATCGTGTGTCTCGATTAGCTGGGCTTGAGCAGGCTCATGGCCCGGGCCTGCCTTCTCTCCACCGCTCTTCTCTGCAGCAGCTCAAGCCAGAGGCTTGAAAGGCTGAGCCCTGTTCCAGTGAGGATTAACCGACGCATCCTATCCTGCCCGAAACTATTAAAAAAGCTAGTGCTAAGGAGCCTCCCAGTGCAGTCACAGAAGAGGGCGGGTCTGGTGGGCTTGAGTCTGGAGGTGGGCGAGCAGAAAATTCAGCCTGCCTCGGGCTCCCCAGAGGGTCAGGAGGCCTGCGAGTGGGCCTGGGTGCCCCGGGAGTAGGTGAGACCCAGCTCAGTACGTGAAACCCCCATCGGCTGCATCTGCAGGAACCGAGTCCATCTGACAGGAGAAGGCTTTCGCTCTGGGTGCTTTGCAGCTGCAAGGACGAACAAAAGAACAGAAACAGTTAAAAGACGCAACTGTGGTCAGTGAAACTGCTGCTTAATTGCCCACGCCTGAGAGAAAAGAAAAAAGGAAAAACTCCTGGAGAGTTAGTAATATGCTTGTTAGCATATTCAGATTTCAATTAAAGGCAAATAGCCCCCCGCACTCAGATTGCTCTGGCCTGCCCGGCTGCAAACAATGCCTCTCTAAGTGGAGAGCCGAGCAGCGGACGTGTGCAGAATTGTCAGTGGAGCTTCGGCGTCCGGGGGGTGCACATCTGTTTTGATTTTTTAAGATTGTTGTGTGACCAAATATGTTTGACATTCCAGAAAAATATCCTCGATCTAGTAAATGAATTTCCTGAGAAGATTGCATGCAGTTTCCATGTTACAAAACAGACTACACAAATCAGTGCAGACCTCAGACCATACATCACCGGTGAGTCTCCTAAAAGGTATTTTGACTGTCTCCATGCCATTACTGTGTGGACGTACCAGTTGGTTGAGTGTAAATGCTTTATTGTTGGGAGTTTCTGGCTGGGAATGTCACTACCTGGGGGACTGAGAGATGATTCATCATGGAAACATAAGGAGAGATTAGTTGTGTTCACTTATTATATACAGGTCTCCTGCTGCCTATATTAAAAATTTATTTTCTGCATTTTTTTAGGGGACCTTTGCATCATTGCTGTAATAATGCATACAGAGAATTTATCCTCCAGCTTTGAATGAATCAGTTCCATTTGCCATTAATAGTCATTTAAATTTCTCGTGGTTCCCCCTCCTGGAAGGATTTCTCACAAAGCAGTTTAGTTACTTTGCTGAAGGCAGTTTTGAATCTGTCCCAAAGACCAGCATGCTGCCCGGCCCTGTCTGGAGAGTTTGTGGTGACCAGTTGTCCGCGTTGCTGCTGTGGCTTCAGGAAGCCTGGAGACACGCTGTCCGCTGGGGTCCAAATTGGATGACTCAGGGCGCGACCTCTGGGCCCAGTTTTTGAAAATAAACTCTGTTGCCAAACTGTTGTCGGTCCTTCCTCTTTTCAGTACAAACATATCTGGCTTAACTTGGTGTTTATTCTGTGCTTTCGGCAGAAGGAAGAATAACGGAGAAGGAGATAAGGGATCACATTTCAAAAGAGACCTTGTTCTACATTTGTGGTCCACCTCCCATGACAGACTTCTTCTCCAAGGAGCTGGAGAGCAGCCGCGTCCCCAGAGAGCACATCTGCTTTGAGAAGTGGTGGTAGGGGCGGGCGGAGCCGGGAGAAGGAGGCAGACAGAGGCCCCTGAGGCCCGACACCCAGGATGCTCTGTGGTTTGGGCCCATGATTTACCTCTGCGCACTCTTATTTTTTAAGGCTGTGGACTCTGCCCAGTTGGAGAAACAAGAAAAGTCAACTGACAGACTTAAATGATAAACTTGTTGCAAAAACTTCATTAATTAAACTGATTTTCACTACATTGACTTTCTCTTATGAATAACTGATTATCTCATGGTGTACCTTGAATTGGTCAATATATATTTTCTTTCCCCTTAAGGGAAAAAAGACATATCCTTCAAGCATGTGAAAACACAGGTTTTGTGTGTGAAATGTAGGTTCTTTAAATTATTTGACAGCCACCTATGTATCTTTTGTTGAATAAACTTAAATGTAATTTCATTTGAAATTGTTTCTCTTTAATGTCTTAGTTTACTTTCTTGTGGCCTGCAGCCTCCTTGGTGCAGACTGTTAAAGTTGGGTTTGGAAATAGAAAGCTGTTAGGAAAACTGCTTTAGGGCATTGAATGTCCAGCATATTTGCTTTCTGTTAATGAATATCCGATGTATCCTGACTGAGTTTCTTCTCAGATGAAACCTTTTTTGAGGCGCGTGTCTTGGCTGTCTGTCTCAGTGCCCACGTGGGAGGCGGCTTCTCTTTCAGGACCAAGGCGATGATGAGTGCTGTGTCCTCTGTAATTCTGCCCTCAGTGGCTGGGCTTGACGGGCTGTGGAAGTGTGCTCAGGATTGATCAGGGATGCAGAGCTGATTCCAAGTCCTGCTGCACGGCCTCGTATTTCATTCTTTGTCCAGGGTTGTTCCTGGCTCCGCGGCTTCTCACATACCTGTTGAGTGGCAGAAAGAAAGCAGCTACCATTTAAGCTCTTGCTAAGCCTGGGGTCAGGAAGTGGTCCCCAGAGTGGGAGGAGAGAGCGGCGAGCCTTATTCAAGGCTGCTCTGGGGGAACTGCTAGAAAGAAGACTGTATTCCTTATCTTTGTGTAGATTTTTTAAAACCTGAGAGAATTCCCCAGGCTTAGGGCAGACGTTCTTTTCTGTGACAAGGACCGCAGCCGGCTTCTTGGAGAACCTCATGAGGCGTGTGCGGTCTGGGAAGAGAGGCAGACCAGTGCTGGAGGTGCAGGGACCATGGGGAGTTCAGTCCTCAGCTGAGGAGAGAGGGCAGGGGCCTTTCTCCTCTCCAGGCAGGTCTCGGGGACTCCAGGGCATAAACACATCATTGATCTGTGGGGCCTCGTGATGGCTGGCGTCACCGCGCTAGCTTCGACTAGGATGTTTTGAATCTTGTTATGTTTTAAGCAGAGATCGTTGGTCTCCTATTTCAATCCCAGATTTGATTTCACTAGGAGCAAAGAAGAACTAAAAAGCGTCTTAATGAAAGTGAAGAGGAGAGTGAAAAGGTTGGCTTAAAGCTCAACATTCAGAAAACTAAGATCATGGCATACAGTCCCATCGCTTCGTGGGAAATAGATGGGGAAACAGTGGAAACAGTGGCTGACTTTATTTTAGGGGGCTCCAAAATCACTGCAGATGTTGACTGCAGCCATGAAATAAAAAGACGCTTACTTCTTGGAAGGAAAGTTATGACCAACCTAGACAGCATATTAAAAAGCATGACACAACTGAGCAACTGAACTGAACTGAGGAGCAAAGGGGGACCTGTGACCCGATGGGAACATCAGGGTCCGTTCAGGGAGGTGGTCGGCACTGTTCAGAGGTGGAGGGCACACGGGGAGCTCTGGCTCCTTGGAGCCCTGAGTCAGGAGGCCCCGAGTGTCCAGGCCGCGGGCTGGGCCCGAGGGCCGCACAGTCAGGAGGCCGAGGAGCGGGTGAGGGAGGGGCGGGGATGGGGCCGGCGTGCTCCGTCCCAGCCCTGGTGGCCCTGGGAGGAGAAGCCCAGTGCAGGGGGCCGCCCCGGGCCTTTCTGTGCCCGCCCAGGGGTGCTGGGGCGTCTGCAGCGTGGCCTGGGGCAGGCTGTCAGAGAACAAAGGTCGCCCACCCTGGGGCGCCCAGCTCTGCCCGGCACCTGCCCGCGACAGCTTACGGCGAGCTGCGGGGCCGGATCTGTGGTCTCCGAAGACTAACCTCCGGGACCAGAGGCCGTCTCATTCACCAGAGCCTTGGGTAGATGTTCATTGAAAGTGAAAGTGACAGATAAAGCTGCTGACACGGACATCAGAAGGGGGTAGAAAGAGTATCCACCCCCACTGTTTTAAGCAGGGCATTGGATACTTCTCAGCTGACTGCTGAGAATAGAGAAAAAGAATACCTTGAGGTGGTAAGAGCTCCCCCAGACCCTCCCCCAAGGCAGACATCCTGAGATAACCCTCGGAGACTAGCCAAGGAGAACAGGTCCTGGGCTGTGTCATCAGGGGAAGAATCAGGGGAATAAGTCTTGAGAAACAGGCAAGATTTGCTACAATTACAGCCGTTAACATAGAGCCTGAGAAAAGCATTTCCATGAGTAAGACCTTGTGCGGTATGATCCTTAGCTCCTAAAGAAAGGCCAGCTCTCAGGCAAGACCCACCGCTGCACACTGCTTAAGGAAAACGTGAGCGAGAATGTTCACCTCCTCCTGGAAGGGCCCTGTACTCCCCCCTGAGTTAACTCTCACCAGCTGCTCGCTCCCTGGCACCGGCTGTAAACCCCTGCGGGGCCAGGTCGTGACTTTTGCCTGCATGGCAGGTCCTTCCAGCTCCGTCCTTTCAGGCGATGAACACGGAATGGTGCTTCTGGCCCGCTGCTCGAGGATATCCGTTTGCCCTTGCCGGCCAGGGCAGTCAGGATCCCTCTGGGAGCTCCTAGCTCCGTCTCGGGGAAGTCCAGCCCTCGTGGCTTGGAACTGATGGCGTGGTGGCTGAGAACGGCGGCTGGGGAGAGCCCTGAGCCAGACTGCTGGGGTTCGCATCTCAGCTCCGCCCTGCGCCGGGTGGGTGACCCAGAGCTCGTCGCTGACCTGTGCGATGCCCCGGGTTGTGATTACACAGGTGCGGGCACGGAATTGTGCCACCTCCCTCGCGGGGCCTTCACGGGACTGAAGGTGATGGTCCACAGGGAGGGCTCGGCAGGGCAGCGCGTGAACCCAGCCTGCTGTATCCTCATGCGGCGTGACTCTGCGTTTCCTTTTCCTGTTCAGGATGTGAGATGTGAGAGGCTGGACAGCTCGGGGATCGTCCGCCGGCCTGGAGCCTGCCTGTGAGGAGGGCTCTGCCTTGCTCAGAGCTCTCCTGAGCGTGAGATAGGCCCTTAGTAGATACTTCTTACATGGGTGAGACGGCCTTCCCAGAGCTGGTGAACTGGGCCCTGTTTTGTCTTGTTTTAATTATTTATTGGCTACACCCGGAGAAGGCAGTGGCCACCCGTCTCGGTGTTCTTGCCTGGAGAGTCCCACGGGCAGCAGAACCTGGCGAGCTACCATCCCTGGGGTCACACGGAGTCGGCCACGACCCAGCCGCTACCCCCCACACACACATTGGCGCCACCAGGTCTTATCTGGGCTCCCCTGGAGCCTCAGCGGTAAAGAATCCGCCCCCCTCAGTGCAGGAGACGTGAGCTTGATCCCTGGGTTGGAAAGATCCCCTGGAGAAGGAAATGGCAGAGACAGCAAAGTAGAGAAGGCAGTAGAATTAACTCATAGATCCATCACCCACATCCTTGATTACCAGCACGCTCTGGTCTGTTTTTGTCTGTCCTCAATTTCTTGGGTTTTGATGTTTCAGGAGTACCTTGAAGCAAACCCTAGAAATCATAGCTGTAAATTCTTGAGCAGGTAACAGCCGTATCACCTCAGCACGACCATAGAGCTGTCGTCATACCAGCACAAATAACAAGGACCGCTTACTGTCGCCTGAGACGTCACTGTTTTCCCTACATTGTCCTCCCCACGTTGCCTCGAAGTCCACATCTCGCAATTCGGTTGGTGTCTCTTGTGAACGTCTTTCAATCCAGTCCCCTCTCCCCTCCCCACACTCATGTCCAGACACTTTGCTGAAGAAGCCGGGTCGTCTGTCCTGCGGACTTGCTCACGTTGTGAACCCAGCCCGCGGTGTCCTTAGGTGTGGTTGAACATGGCCCTCTCTGCTGTATATCACATAAACTGGGAAGTAGATATGGAGCTTATTTACATTCAGAGTCAAGATTTTTTTTCTCTTTTGCAAGGCCACATCATGAGTGGTGTTATTTCTGTTGCATCCTGAGGTGGTACCTAATGTCTGTCCTGCTTTCAGTGTTTTTAAGATTGGTCGGTGGGTTCAGCTTTTGTCAGCCTGATTCCCCCCATAAAGTTCCCTATCAGCCTTTCACCCAAGTTATCTTAGTAGCCGTTGGTCTTTGTGTGCTATTTCATTAAGAACTAGCTGCCCATTTCTATCATCTGGCCTGCATTTACTGCCCATGATTCTTCTACAAAGAACTTGCCCTCATCGACTTTGCCCTGAAATGAGTCTGAATTGGAAAGGTGGGATCAGCGCTCCATTCTTTCTCTTTGTTTACCAACTGACCTGTTATGAGTTGGTATCCAGGCAACCTCCAAAGTGACTGATGAGGTTTTTTTAAGTCTCCCTGTGAACTCTTGGCTTTTTGTACATTCGATTGTTTGCATCCACTGTGCTCAAATTTTCAATGTTCAGCTTGCTTGGGGCTGCCTGGGCTGAGTTAGTGGCCCTCAGTAAGCTGTGGAGGGTTGATGAGGTTTGGTGCTTCTAGAGTTGCAGAAAGTGCTCCATAGACAAGAAGAGAATGGTGTCAACCCCATGTGAGCAAAGTGTTTCCAGCAGGACGGACCGGTCGGCTATACCATGCTTGAAGTAACAGGAGAGAGGTTCTAATGAGCAGTCACTGACGCAGCAACTGGAAGGTCACCAGTGGTCGTGATAAGAGGGCCGTTACAAGGGAAACACTGGAGTGGGTTTGGGGAGGAAATTACAGCGAGTGAGTATTGATTATAATTGTGAAGAATTTCACTGTTAAGGGAAGGAAAGAGATAGGATGGCAGCTGGAAAGGGAAATAGGGTCAAAGAGCTCCTTTTTACAAAGTTTACTCATCACAAACACTTTTTTGCAGTATAGTGATTGTCCATGGGGCTGCAAAGAGTGGGACCCAACTGAGTGATGGAACTGAACTGATAGTTGATTTACAATGTATTTATTTTTGCTGTACAGCAAAGTGACTTGGTTATACATCTGCATGTTCTTTTTCATATTCTTTTCCATGATGGGCTATGACAGGATGTTGAGTACAGTTCCCTGTGCTGTCCAGTAGGACCCTGTTGTTTATCCTTCCTATATACGAGTTTGTATCTGCTCAGCCCGGACTCCCAATCCATCCCCCCACCCACCTGGCAACCGCAAGCTGTGAGTCCGTCTCTGTTCATAGTGTTCGCGCCTGTA